GGAGAGTTTTCTCAACAGATTGGACTAATGCCAATGAGTTTAAGCAAATACTGGCAAGATCAAACCTGAATCAAGGAGGTTTCTTATATTTGTGAAAATGACCTTCTGGTATTATCTGGGGTTTTGATTATCAGTACCCCATGGAGTTATCTTACTACATGCTGGAGGATGGCCACTGCAGTGCATCAGCCCAAGCCTTAGATGCTAGAAAAGACCATGCCAGGAATAGAGCCAGGGGGTATGTAAATTGGAATTTAAGTCTTTGTTCTCCAGTAACCTGAAGTAATTATCTTCATTCTGGGTCCAGGGACCTGAGAGGCAGCAGATAAGTTGGTTGCACTGGTTGGTTGTACTAGGAGGACATTTTAATCAGTTCGACTGTCAGTCACCATGACAGCTTACACTCAAGTATACTGCCAAAAGGAGAATATCTGGATCATTTAGTCATACTAAAAAACTAGGAGCAAAATAGCTGTCATAGTCAAGATTTTTTTAAAGGAAAAAGCTATTGAAAATTACCTGTATATTTTCTTTTAATTTATTTTAACATCTAGACACCCATTTCTCCTATAATCAAAATATCAAATTTATGCTTATTTCCCCAAACTAAAATTGTACAGGAGAACTGATGTTAGAAACACTTTACTATAACTGTATAGTTTTTTTTTTAGATCTGAATTTTTCAATTTCAGATTTAAGACGTTTTATAGGATATGCAGATTCATAGAAGTAGGAAATTAATTAGCTCTGTTCAGAAGCAATGGCTGTGAGTGTTTTGGGTTTGGGGGCTGTCTCCGCCTGGTCTGGAGCAGAGAGGAGGAGCTGTGAGAATGGAGGTGGAGGGTGTTTGTGAGTCTGTGTCTGAGTGGGTCCCTCACCACAACTTGCTCTTGGGTGGCCACCTCTGTCTCCTCAGCAGCTACCACCTCCAATGTTAGCTCGTATTTCTGTGACCGACCCCTACGTGGCTGGTGTCCTGCCTCTCCAACTCTGGTGCCAACAAAGATTCTTTCCTTGACTAAACTCTACTCAGGCTCCACTGAAATTTTCAACTCAGCCTCTACCTTTGAATTTCTGTGTTGTCTCTTCATTGTCCACTGTTAGCAAGAATCTTGCCAAGTTGGTTTAGTTAGAATGCCCCTATGCTCCATATCTGATCACTCTTGACATCTGATCAGGTTCCTCATCCTCCACTGTCCCCCGCGGGCTGATGTCTGATCACGCTGTCCCGCCTTCAACAAGAATCCTTTTAGGTCAGCTTAACCACCTAAAACCACCTCTGAAAATATACAGGTAAGTTTCCAACCACTGCCTCCCCTGCCCCCCGCCCCTACTGCTTGTCTGTAGGTTCCCACTTGCCCATGCTGTCTGTCTTCAGAGTTGAGACCACTCTCTCTCCCCACCCCAAGATCCCACTGCAGTTGTCCCTACAGCCTTCAAGACTGTCCCCCTTGAATGAAGTCTTCCTTCCTGGCTTTAGTAAGTGGTATTGAATAATTATTTCTTTAACAGTACTGGTTATTTGTAGCTACAGCAGGCTGCTCAGCCCTTGCCACCACCAACCACCACAGGCCGTCTCACTGCCTGAGACCAGGCAGGAGGGACTAGAATTCTCTCAATTAATCTCTATCCCTACATCCTTTAATCTGTTTAGGCACTAGGCCTCAACAAAATGGAATTTAAGGGACAACTCAGAGCTTTTTTTATTGCAGGATCACTCCTTAGTGATTCTCAGACTCACAAGAATTTGCAACTAAGTGTGGCATATCAGAAAGTGCTTATTACAAAGTTTTTTTTTGAATGAATAAGGCATAGCTTTGATCCCAGCATCACTCTAAGGTGTCCCTCGTTGGCTACATTGCAAGATCCTTTGGGCAGGGACTGACTTTTATACATTAATGTGTTATAAGGTTCTAGATCATTCTAGATCACCACTTATTGTTTTGTATTAAGCATGTAGAAAATGGTCAAGGCCAAACCATCAAGCACTTGCTGGTTACAAGTGGGTGAATCTACCCTTTACCTTTGGTGCAATAACTAAACCAGGATCCCTAGTGAGTTAGGAAGCCCTTGTACTCCTTGCCTGTCCTTCCCTGCTTGTCTATTATACCCAGCTGCCTGCTCCCCAACCCTTGATTGGAAGAAACACTTTTGGGGGCAAGTTGGCACAGTGGCTTCTCACTCTAAATAGGAACCCTTTTGGATATTGGATTTCCCTATTTTGATTTTTATAGAGAAATTTATAATGTTCATTGTTTTTCTTTTATTTTTAACTTTTATAAAATCCATATTTGGCTTTCTAATTTTGTCCTCAAACCCTTTGATTTAGGCATTTTTCATATCCTAGCTGGCTCACTACAGTCATTTCTTGGCAGACGTCTCCTATTCATTTATTCATTCTTCTATAAATTTTCAATGTATTAAGAATTCAGATTTTCTCACTCTCCAAGTATCTGGTAAGAAATAGAGTAAGATAATTTCACAGGTTGTCCAGCACATTCTGGATTTCCCCTATTGTTCCACCATTAAAAGATGGGTTGGGCATGTTACCCCACAGTATGCTAGGAAACCTGGGGGTATTTCTTTGGTAGCTCAGCATAAATTTGGCTCCAACAGGGACTGGAGCTGATATTAGCACTGTCCCATTTCTACTGCTACTGGCTTCTTAGAGGAAAGCTACATAGCTGCTCTCTTACAAGAAATGAGTAAATATAATTTCAGTTTCAACCTCCACACAAATACCTTGTCATAGTACTTTTTATTGTTCTCTCTGGTACCCTATGCAGGTCACAAATCATTAGTCAATTTAATGATGACAATGTTGCAATATTAACTAAACATTTATGAGTTAACTTCAATGTGTTGAGTGTTATGTTAAGTGTCATAAATACGGTCCCTTCATATCTGTGGTTCCTCATCTGCGGATTCAAGGAAACTTGGATTGAAAATATTCAAAAGAAAAGTTACATTGTTGCTGACATGTACTATGAAGTTAGGCTTACGATGGTTGTGTCTGTACTGAACATTCACAGACTTTGCTTTTCTTGTCATTATTCCATAAATAATACAGTATGGTAACAATTTTATAGCATTTACATTATATTAGGTATTACAAGAATTGTAGAGGTGATTTAAAGTATACAGGAGGATATGCAAGGCGACATCTACACCAGCCATTTAATATAAAAGACTTGAGCATCTTTGGATTTTGCCATCCATGGATGGGGGGTGGTCCTGGAACCAATACTCTGTAGATACTGAAGGACGACTCTATTACTTTACTTAATCCTCACACCTGTTACTATCTCCATCTTCCAGTTGTGGAAATGGAGTGCTACAGTTAGCACACAAGACTCCCATGCAGTGGTATGGCTCTCCAAGGTCAACGCTCTTCTGTGCTTTATTTCCACATCACCAAAGTCCCTTAGACATCCCTGACAATACACTACTCTTTCTAAGGCACTACTTGAGTCGCACCTAACTTGAGAAGCCTGTCCCCACAGCAGTACATTCAAGTTCTCCCCTGCTTCAACTTGGCTCCTTACATTTACCATCTCAAGTTGTTGGATGGGTCTCTAAGTAAACTCAGCTCCCTAAGGGAGTCAGGAAGGGAGGCATTGGGTCCTTACCTCCCTTATGCTTTCCAAGTTCTCCCTGTACTTGCCCCTGTTACTGTTCTCACTTGGATGAAGAAATTGGTCTCCTGATCCTAACTGGTTTCTTCCCAGTTCTAAGGAAGTTTTCTAGGGAAGAGGTAGGTATTTTACTAGCATTTAGGAAGTCTTTTATTCCTTAGAGGAGCCAGAGGGCTTACTCAGCCGGCCGGCCTAGTTCAGAGGTAAACACTCCTAAGCTTAGTGCCTAAGGACACTCTGTCATTTTAATGATTCTGTTTACAAGGTAGGAGGCAATTTTCTTCAAGTTTCTAAAAGTTCTGCTCTGTCAAAGAAAAGTGTCTCCCAACTGAGCCTTTTTGTTTGGATTTTGCCCAAGGCCTTTCTTTCCCTCTGCCTTCATTATTAGTCCACAGAAAACCAGAGAGGATGTTAAAGATTCACTTCACTAATTCATAGCCAGCTGGGAAACTTTGCTTTCAATCTGACTAGAAGGTTGCATTGGCAGTAGATTTGGAGACATGGCCCCTTGAATTCCAGGGAATAAAAACAAACAAACAAACAAACAAACTGCCCCCCTTCAATTGGTTAGAAAACAGAAATTTAAAACTAGTGATGAAAAGTTTCCAATATGGGCCCAGCAGGTTACAACGGTACATATAGTATGCTTTATTATTAGAACAAATGTTCACTTTCTATTGTGTAGTTTTAGGCTGAGCCCCCACATCTTTTAACAGTTTTTGTCACATCTAAACTAACTCTTATTTGTTTTAATTTGCACGTGGGAGCTGACCTAGGATACACAAATGGGAAGAGACATTATTTTCTTTTTCTTTGGTGATGGTGAAGTGGCTTTTTTCCAAGTTTGAATTTTGGTCTAATGATTTTTTTCCTTTTCTCGGGATGCCGTCTCAGTTTCATCCTGAATTGTGTTATGAAGAGGTGATTTCGGTAGTTAACTATGACTGGCAGGTTTCTTAGGGAAAAAAAAACCTAGGTTGTTGCAGTTCACTGAGAAGTTGCTTCTGACTTGGAGCAGAATGTAAATGAGTTTTTGGCTGTGAACTATATTTAAAAAAAAAAAAAACTCTTAAGCAAGGCAAAAGTTTTGCTCTGAGGAGAAATTAAAGCTCTCAGATTGTGAAGCAAGAGCTGTGTTTGTTCTTTGCTTTGTGGTATAGGAAAACTTTAACCTGCATGCCTTAGGACCCTATCTTTTGAATAAAGCAATTCATAGCTTCCAAAAGGTTATTTTATCAAGCTTGATTTTAATTTGATTTTTTGTGACCTCAAGTTGAGCTGCAAGCTTAAACCAACAAAGAAACCAACAAACAAATAAAAAAAACCCCCCAAACTCTGGCATATTTCTGACTTGAACTCTTTTACCTGGTTCAATGTTGAGAGAGTAGCTGTCTATTTCCAGATCGAGTTGCTGGGCTGCAGCAGAACGAAAATCCTCTAAGACCCCGTGCACAGCCTTGGTGAGGTTGTATGGTACTGACTTAGCAAATCTCATTTTGCTATTCACGATCACACTCCCATTTCTGAAGTTAAGTATTTCGAGTTGCTTGAATCCCGTAAGATTGGATTGTAGATATGGAACCAGCTGCAAAATAAAAGATGGTTTACTTTGAACTGTGTTCTAAGTGCTCAGCTGCTACTTTTTTACATTCCATTTATATTCCACTTATATTCATTTTTCATTATCCAAGGCATAAATTTCGGTTCCTTTTTATTTATTTATTTTTTATGTGTTTGGATTTAATGAAAGACCAGAACACCACTACTTAATAATTTGCCGTGATTATGTCCCATATTTCTTCCTTTCTATCTGTGTATTGAGATGAATGGGCAGTGGTTTCCTTCATGATGAATTGTGAGAGAAGAGGATTTAAAAAATCCAGGCCAATGCTATTGGCAAAGCAGAAATGTTAGGTTTTTTTTTTGTTTTTTTTTTAATCCAAGTCAAGTAAATAAAAACATGTTCCAAACTGAGCCCAGGAGCAGACTGACCTACGCCTGTGCAAATTTCTATTTGGAAGCAACCAATTTGAAATGATCTATTGAAGTAAATAACAGCTTAAACATCAGCTTGTCTGTTTGTGCAGGATGGGTTTCACATTCGACACACATGCAGTCCACTGGAAAGAGCAGGGAACTGGCAGTCAGTCCTGGAACTGTCTCTAACTACCTGTGTGACCTTCATCGAGCGCCTTAACTACTGTGTTGTACCTCAGTGCCCTTGTCTGAACTGTGAGGGAGAAGACAAAGTGGTTCAGGAAGGATGTTTTCCAGACTATAATTTAATGATCTCAAAAGCACGCCCCAAGGCTTTGCGCTTCAGGTCCCCACACCTGCTTCTTTTGAGCCATAGCCATTTTTGAGATCACTTTTCAAAATGTTTAAAACTCAGCAATGTCTGTCTCATTCCTGGCCTTGAAAGTGAGCCCCTCATTCATGAATGGACACCTATGAGCCCAGGGAGCACACAGATGCAAGCTTCAATCTCTCAGGCTTGGCCCAGACCTGCTTTTTCTTTGTCTTTGCCTTTACCCTACCAGCATTTTGACTCTGACCCTGACCCATGTTCTGGTACCCCACCACTAAGGTTATTCTGAAAATAAAATGAAATTTTATATGAAGTATGGAACTTCTTTTTTCAATCTATTCTCCTGATTTCTCCTAATTACTTTGACTGGGCTTGTTGTTTGTGCCTTAGCATTGCTTTGGACCCTGTCTTTACCTACTGTGCAGACAAATAGCTGCTCCCTTCTCCCAAATCCATTCTCTTATTAGAACAAATGTTCACTTTCTATTGTGTAGTTTTGGGCTGAGCCCCCAGTGGACTATGAGTGGAAGAGATGCAGGCCACTTTGGTATCATTTGCATAGGATATTGCTTGCTCTGGACGCTCTCTCTTTCCTCTTCTCATGAGTGGAAACAAGGGTCTACCAGTGACCCAGATGTGACTGTATGAATGAGGAAACACCCTTGGGGTTGGCAGAGTTATAAGATAGAAGGAATATGGGTCCCTGGATGACATTTTAGAGCAGAGCTGTCCCATCTATCTAGTAAAAGAGAAATAAAGTTGTATCTTATTTAAGTTACTGAATTCTTTTCATTATGGCAGCTTAGCATGTACCCTAATATACCTGGGCTAGGTACACTGGGACTCTGTTCCCTGAGATCGTCCCAGGTATCTCTCACCTCATTGTGGGTGGTGTGGAGAATAGATTGCACAGTCTTTCTTTAAAAGTTCACTTGAAGATTAGTTTTTATGTGGTCTTAATTTGCATAATGATGTCACATATATATGAAGCTTATAAATATTTTTTCAACTCACATGGTTCAGCATTTCTTATTATATATGCATTTCTTATTGTACATGTAGAAACAAAACAAACATGTGAGTTTTAGAGGTGTTTTATAGTGAAAGGTATTTGCCATCATGATAATCTTACTTTCTTTGTTAAGGATCAGGGATGATAAACCGTTTAGTCATTTTTTTAGTTTTATAAGAACTTAAGGGGAACTGAAAAAAGAGTCTTTATATCTGAACTCTCGATCTCATCTGTGCTCGACCTCATCTGAGCCCTTTCATTAGATGGCTGAAAAAATAGCTTAAGACATTATAACTTAGGAAAAGTTTTTGCTTTTAAATCCCAAGTTCAATACTTCGTTGGCTGTGTATTTTTAGTAGGAAAACAAAATTAGGGCGAATTATAATAAAAAGATCTTAAGGATAAGTTTGTTTCCATGAGGCTGGGTGGCAGTGTCTGCTTTGTGTGTCCACCACGGAACTCAGTTGCCTATTGGATCTGAATCCACCTCAATGCTCCAGCTGAATGCCTTTAGCAATAGCTATCTCAGGGGTTTGTCTCTTCCAATATGCATTTCTCAAGGAAGTCATAAAGTAACAACAAGAAAAGAAGAGACACACAGAGAATTGTAAGCAGTGCCCACTCACCAGCTGTGTGAATCGTTGCTCCAGAGCTTGGTACTCCAGAGAGCTCTTGTTGAAGAGGTCATTGGAGAAGGGCACGTTAGCGACACGCAGACTAAAGAACACCACGAGCTCTCGGCCCTTGGCAGCGATGGTCGTAGAGCCAGTTGTGATATACTGTAAAGCTGGGACAGGAGTGGTATTCTCCAAGAAACTGTCTGGGGTGGAAACATATCCACTGAATCCTGGTACCTCAGAGGGGGAAGGAATGTTAGCTAGATCCAGTCCATCAAAGTCTCTGACTATATCTTCGCTGCCTGTAGTTAACCCGTGGTCTTCTGAAGATGTAGGCAAACGTGAAATTTCCAGAGCTGATTGGCTGATGGCAGAATAATCATTGATGGGGATGGTTAGCCCTGGGATTAGTACTGTCTGGTCAGTGGACATTATGTCTGTGGCACTTTGATCAGTCAGAGAGATGATGCTCGATGCAGTAAAAAATGGTAGAATTTCTGACAGGGAGGTAGAGGCCATAGCAGGTGGAGACAAAGAACTGTCCATGGAGAAAGTTCCTGAGACCAATTCATTATGTCCGAGCATTCCCCCAAAGAAAAGAAAGAAAAAAAAAAACAAAGTTAAGCTTGACTTTTAAAAAAATGACATTTACATTGATTATTTTAATGTCACATTTTAAAAAAAAATAACAAGAAATCTGCCAGACAGACCTGTGTGCAAACCTGGGAAGTCGGAAGGTGGATCCTGTACCCATTTTATTCAGACCAAAAAATTCTGGATGTATGAAACTAAAAGATTATGAATTACCTAGAATTTCTGGAATTATTGCCCAGCCAGACACAGCACATCTAGGAACCAGGTGGTAAAAGCTGACAAGGTTACCAAGGGCGCCAAACCACAGATGGCATTGGAACAGCTTTGGATCCCACAGCCCCACCTAGAACTCCCAGACAATTAGCTGTGCGGTTTTTGCCCAGAAATTTTATTCACCTTCCAATCATGTAAGCCTACAACTTTGTGAAACTAGATTTTGTGTGTGTGTGTGTGTGTGGAATCCCATTTATCATATTTTGTTAGTTTTACCAATTAAAATATAAATTATACCTTTCCAAGACTGGATAATCTGACTGAATAACTTGCCAATTTGCAGAATAGTATTGAGAGAGTAAAGGTGTGCATTACACATATAATTTGAACTTTATATTGACTATACAACTTGCTAATATTTGATAATATTTAAAGGTTTTGTCACTTTTACAGGATTATATCTTGCTATTTTTCTGCCACATGCATTACTTTCTTGGGTAAGTACACATTGAACTGTTGAAGTCCATTCCCATTTTGGTACAAAATTAAAATCAGTAAGTACTTATGAATGAAGAAAGTGGTTATACAAAACTATCGGATACAGAGATTGGTGGGTTATTAAAATATTTCAATAAACCTAAATTCAGAGCCACTGATAATATTTAGGGCATTAGGTAAAGCAAAACAGGGAGCTTTCTGTGATTACTTCAGTGGCATTTTGTCAAATATGTGGGAACGCTGTACTGAAATCTAAATGCTACGCATGATGAATGAACTGTCTGGATGTAGATATAATCTTTGGACTCTCAGTCAGCTAATTTACTAGAGTGCAATCACCCAAACTGAAATTCCAAGTGATAAACAGCTCTGAAATGTGGAATCATATTAGTTTTATTAGTTTCTTAAAATAAAACTTACCCTTCGGTGAATTGTACCCAAATTTTAGAAAAGCACCCTCTTTTCTTTCACCTGGGGTGGGTGCCTAGGTATATCTACCCATAATTCATTTAACTGTCAGAAATGATGTTTCCTAACATCTAAGATCTCTCTGGATATACACTTGTAGTTTTATTCAAATCTCCATTGCGCAGACTGAATGTTTGTATCTCCCTAAATTCGTATGTTAAACTTCTAATCTCCAATGTAACTGTGTTTGGTGGTAGAGTCTTTAGGAGGTAATTAGCTCATGAGGGTGGAGCTCTCATTAATGGGAATAGTACCTTTATTAGAAGAGACGTGAGAGAGATGATCTCTGTCTCTGTCTCTGTCTCTGTCTGTCTGTCTGTCTGTCTCTCTCTGCCAGCTGAGGAGACAGCAAGTAGACATCTATCCGCAAACCAGAAAGAGAGACCTCACCAGGAACCAAATCATCTGGCAGCTTGATCTTGGATTTCCCAGCCTCCAGAACTGTGAGAAGTAAATTTCTGTTGTTTAAGGTACCTAGTCTATGGTGTTTTGTTATAGCAGCCTGAGCTAAGACAGATTTCAAGTGCTATCATGACTGGACTTGACTTCTTTGTGTCATGGGAAACTGCATATGAATCTGTTTCTGTGGTGTGTCCTCTGTGCTCCTCCAGATGATAAGGGTCAGGGAAGAAGCACAGTGACAGATGTTTTTGATCTACTCCTGGGCCAGCATCTCATTACTTACACCTTTATCACTATATAGACTTTAGCTAGATTGAAATAGTCTGTTGTATTAGGTTATCAACCAATAAAAATGAATTTCTATTCATCTTAACATTAATCATTTACATTCACAACAAATCTATCCAAGTTATTTCACTGATAAAAACAGTTGGCTAGATAAAATACAGGATTCTCATTGGATCATACCTGTATTAAAAAATTATTTTTTATCTGAAATTCAAAGTTAACTGGTTATCTTGTATTTTTGTTTGCTGAATCTAGCAGCAGATCATATTTAAATAAATCATTTAAATGTGATTTAAAAGATTATTTCTATTCTCTCTTGGCTTGATAGTGAAACTACTAAGGCCATAGTCATTTTCTTTGAAATAAAAATATCATCCAAATCTTACCGCTACTTATAAATATATTTTAAATAATTAAATTTTCATCAGATTCTTATGGAGAAATTGACATGGCAGTGACACACTTCATTTGAACATAAAGTTTTTTACACTGTAATGGAGAAGTCAAACACTTAAAGCCAAGACCATCTATTTTATCATGAGATATGCAAAATAAATGGACTCAGAATAATTGGACTCAGAATAATTTGACTTTTTAGCTATTGCGTTTGAGTGTGTGTGGGGTTCTCATGAGGGTGTGAGGTTTATATGTATACGTGCATAGTGGGGATACTGGTTAGAAACCCAGCTGCTGGGTGTGGAGTAAAAGCCTATTTTGGTCACTTTCTGAGCAAGAGACCTGTCAAAAAGCAAAGGCCACAGATGAAATGGTCCAAACCAAAGTAAGTGAACTCAAGTCCAACTGAAGCCCACAATGAGATAAGCCAGTAATGGGTAAAGATGGGCTCAGTGGGAGCAGCCAGAAGCCCCACTAGTAACCAGAGGAAGGCCAAGTAGAAAAATGAGCAAGATGTGAGGGACAAGTACAGAGAAAGGCTATTTTAAATGCTGCTAGCAAGAGTCACATATGTACATATACACACTAAATCATAAACATCAAGTGGTCGCCTATTTCATATTTAGAAATCTAAAAAGATTCCACAATCTCACTTAGATCTTCAAGTGACACAATCAGCAAGTTCTTATTTCTATATCAAACAAATCCATTCTTATTTATCATGACAAGAAAGGTATTATCTTCTTTTTTGGCATATTATAGAGATAAAACGTAGGTGTTTATTATTCATTTATTCAACAAATAGGTATTGATAGCCTACCATGTGCCAGGCACTGTTCCAAGTGTTGGGATAAATCAGTGAAAAAAACAGATAAAAGTTTCTGGGTCCAAGGAGTTTACCATCTAGTAGAAGAAGACAGAAAATAAAATAAACAAAGAGAAATACATAATGTACCAGATGGTGATAAGTGCTATGGAAGTAAAATGAAGCAGGAAAGTAGCTGGGAATGCTGAGTTTGAAATTTTATTTAGGGTGGTCCCTAAGTATAGTATTTGAGCAAGGCCTGAAGGAGGTGAGAGAGTTTGGCAATGCTGCAAATACAAATGAAATAACTAAAGAAGAATGTGTTTCATGTTCCAGGAACAGCTAGCTGGGAGAGCAGCATGGCTATAATGGAGTTCTATACCATCAATCAAATGTGGGAGTGATTAAAGATATTTTCAAACACAGAAAGTTCCAAATAATTCCTTTCAGGCACCTTTTCTTAGAATGTGTTGACCTAAAATAATGGGGTAAACTAAGAAATAGGAAGAAATGGGATACTGGAAATAAGTTAGAGAAATTGCCAAGAAGAGGATAAAGGGATGTCTTAGGAAGATAGGTAACCCAGGTCAAAAGGCAACCAGTTAAGATTAAATTAGTCTCAAGAGATGGATATATGAAATACTCGTATCACCAAGCCCTGTGCCATTATAACAAATTTTTAACTCAACAAAACTGCCAAAGGATGTGCTCCACAAAACAAGAAAGTAAGCCCAGAGAGAGAAGGCCTGAAGTTCTAGGGATCAGGGAATGCAATTCAGGAGAAAGGCAAAGGAAATTCTAAGGATGAATGCAAAGGAAAGTTCCAGGGGACAGCTGTCCAAAAGGCCTGGAGAGTAGTAGTCCAGAGAAAAAGAGAATGAAGTCTCTGAAAATGGGAAGTGATAAGTTACCTGATGTGGAAAATTACACCAGAAATTTTAATGGAAAATTTGGGAAGAATTGGTAATAAATACAAACAAAACTATGCAAATTAAAAAAGATCAAAGAAAACATTAACTCCAGGCAAACAGAAAGGGAATATAGTTAGAGCAAATAGGTCAGCTGTGAATATATAAACACCGAATATTGATTTAATAATAGTTATTATGATATTAAGAGGGGATAGTATTGTAAGAAACTTAAATCTGTATTTACAATATTAGGAAGTCAGTAAATAATATATAATAAGACTGATGACTCAAAAATACATATTTTATTTAGAAACATGCAAAAAGCAAATGCCAGAAGAAATAGCTCCCAGGGTTAAAAAGAACTACTTCTGGTTAAGCGAGACTGTACAATGAAGAGGTGTGAGACAGCAAAATGCTGTATTTGTCAGAACACTTTTTATTTTGAGACAATTGATACTCAAATGCAGTTCTAAGAAACAGTAGAGAGTGGCATCAATAAAAATGGCAGAGTAAGAAACTCCAAAAGTCAAGTTATCCTTCACATTTGAAAGTTACAGGTATTAGTAGCTCCGATATTACAAGAAACATATTTCTGATCTCTGGCTTCAGTTCCTGACATAGATCTCCTAATTTTCTGACCCTTGGGGCAATAGCCGGGAAAGTATGCAGTCAAACCCATTTCATGGAGAAGCTGGGAGCTGTGTGTTTTCCCTTGCTCCCTCTGTGCTGAGCCTGGGGGGATAGCTATGGGAAGTGCTTGCATGCCCATTTAAAACTGCCTCTGTTTTCTGTGATTCCAGAGGACTTGCAAATGATGAGTCCCACTGGTTCTCGGCTGACTGAGTGATTTGGAGCCAGTCCCTTAGGTGGCAGCCATAAAAGTTGGGAACCTCCCAATTTATAGTTGGCTGATCAGAAGTACAAGTGATAGCCTGGGACTTTCAATACATCTGAAGAGAAGGG